CAAATTTTTGGCTCCCATTGCACCGCCGGTAAATGCAAAAGTTCCTTGTCCTTGTCATAATCAGGGAGGTGTGCTTCACGTCAAAGGCCATAGATTACCACAACATGCTGACGTGCTGAACTGAACTTCATGGATAGCTAAATAACTCCTAGGTGAGATGCTCCCCCCTAGCGCTGTTTATCTTCCTTTTGATAAAAAAAAATATGAGAAATTTTATCCATGCTGACGTGCTGAACTGAACTTCATTCTTGCTAGGCACTTTTGCATGTCCGTCAACAACTCACTCTCACTCTCTGATTAGTAAAATAGGATCCAAAAAATTGAGCTTGGTTTTTGTTAATTTTGAACAAATGAACATAAGAATATTCCTCCTTTATTTATTGGATGGATTACTAAATTTAGGTTGTTAAAACTTAGGATCGACTAGCAGTAGATCTAGTGGGTGGTGTTCTTACATTTGGGATAAAACATCCTAGGACATGAACTAAAATGGGGGAGAGAGGATGAGAGTGGGGAGGTGTTACCGACCATCAGCGGGCTTGGCATTGGAGCTCGAGGTCGACATTGCGAAGGTGTGGCGGCGCGAGTTGGTGGTGTTGCGGCGAGGTCCAGGAGCGACGGGTAGTGGACGCGAACAGTGACGGCGCTTCCCGCCGCCGTGCTCCCTTAGATCGGTTAGGGTTAGTGTCGGTGGGGAGCTTTGGCAACCGGTGAACCTCGTACCGTGAGCCGCCGGCCTCCACCTTTTTATATAGCGCAGTGCGACGGGGGCCCACCAACCATGACTTGGTTGGGCGCCCCCGATCAGGGCGTGGATCAGGGCCCAAGTTGACCGTTGGGCCGACTTGGTGGAGATTAATCTAACAAAGGTGAGTCACGACCTCTCTTCTTGCCCGACTGGAAATAGACTCTAATTTTTGTGTACTACTGTACTGAAATAGACTAATTTCAACTGTGTTAATTACTGCTCTAATTTGATCACGCTTTAATATTTATGAACAGGTATACATGGCAATGGTGCAGGTAGATGAAGGAAACCATGCCCATCTGCGGAAGCTTGGCCTCAAAGCCAATGGAGGAGGTGACAATGCAAAAATTTTAGAGTTGATAACATTGTACCTTTGGGTGTTATAGCCCTCCAGCAGCTCCATATCTTATTCGATTACTTATTGGTTATCTTTTACTACTTTGGTCTTTTCAAATTTTTTATCTTAATGTGGCCCGTGTTTCAAATTTAATAAGTTAATTGGACTATGCAAGACATGACTTTATTATGCCTTGTTATGCATGAGTGTTTTTCGGATTATATACATGGTCTATATAATTGCATGAGACTTAAACTATAGAAAATTATTGTTTTTGGTTGTTCTCATGTGCACCCTGAAATAAAGCCGTGGTATTAGCACAGGCACTATACTAGTTTTTTGAAGTTTGAAATTTGCCCACCCAATATTCTTAGGGACTGTGGAATTATTGTCACTGGGTGGTGCCCGGTAATCTGTATTGTTGATCTTTTTTAAGAGATTTGAAACTCAAAGATTTGAAGTCTACAAATGATACAGTAGGCACAAGCACCCGAGCTTGGTAAATTCAATCCCAATAATGAGCTAACTTGGAGTGTGGATGTGGCAGGATTACCATGTTACTGCAACAATGCTGATTTGCCACAACTACTTTTCCATATTTGCATAAGCATATTGTAGAAGGTCCAAAACACTCCATTACACATGAAGTTACAGAGAGAAAAGAATTAAGCTGCAGAAGCTTGGTACTTTATAGCTCGTCTGAGCCTTTGGTAATCAACATGTTGAGCACCTAAGACCTACTCCCTCCGTCCCAAATTATCTATCGCTTTTAGTTTCCATGCCATAAGTTTAACTCAATTTATAGAAAATGCGTGCAACATTTATATCTTCAAATAAATTTATTAAAAAACTAGATTCATAGGTCTTTCCAATGATAATAATTATGTACCATAAATATTAATATTTTTTAATATATATTTTGTTGAAGTTGTTTCTCGGGAAGCGAAAACGACACATGTTTTGGGACGGAGGGAGTAACATCTGTTGTTAATATGGTGAGAAGGCTGCCAGACCCTAGCCGTAGCATAATAAGCCAGTTGAAGTGGGAGAAATCGAAAGAGTAGCCAAAAGCCAAAAAAGAAAAAGAATCTTGCAACTCATCTTTGTTGAAGTGGGAGAAACCTGAAGAAAATGCGAAGGAAGGGTCGTGGCAGCGTCAGGGGCAGTCTCAGTTATAGAACGCCATGGAGGCATGGAGGACCAGGTCTTGTGTAGTTACCACATCTGGATTCTGCCGCCCATCTTTGTTGCCTTGCAGGGTCGTAGTCGTGGTTGATGCCGGTTCCCGCAGGGCGGCCGGTGTCAACTCTGTTCAGAACCACAATGGCTAGCTCTAAAAAATTGGAAAATGCAAGAAGGCAACAAAGAAATTTGAGGACAGACTCACGGACATTAAAAATCCATCTTGCAGTTCCAGCTACACGTAGAGCTATCATACAACTCAAACTTAATTAAAAGAAACGGTATATAGTACATTGACATTTCATCAAACATCTCAAAGGCATAGAAGCAGATGGGTAAGATCATCGGTGAACATGCTTGCAAGCTCATCATCAGAGGTTGCAAGCAATCTCACTCTTTATGCAAAAATATGGGAAACGACATATACTAATCCTAAGGCTAGTATGACGTCCTTGCTGAGGCAAAGTTGACTCAGCTGAAAGACTTGGAAGCAACAATGAATGCTACAGGGCCTAGAGCCCTAGAGCAGTGAGGCACAGTCCGGCAGCAGTGTACATCGGCAGAACTGGCAACCAATGGCAACTCGGCAACAAATAACTTGCTGGAGCAGAGGTGTGGGAGGGCGGCCACAGCCGCACTTGAACCGGAGGGAGAGCTCTTGGTGGCCTTTTTCTTCATCTCGCAGGAGGGAGAGCACTGAGCGCCTGAGTGGAGGAGCCGAAGGAGGGAGAGGCGAACTCGTCGTTTTCCTCGTTTAGAGCTAACGCTACTATTTGAGCGAATGAGTGTGCAACAGGTGTCGCACTCTCGTTTCCTAGGAACAACGACGCTGGCACACGGAGGACGTTGTGTGTCGCACGCTCATTTGCTCGGAACGACGCTGGGCAGGCTGGGCTTGAAGGCACCGGAGAGCAGGGATCCCTTACGGCGTAAGGATGTTATATAATATAATATTAGCAAAATAAGAAAAGGGGGGATTGGCCCAAAGCAGTGGGCCCGGTTGTAAGTGGTATCGTTGGTGGTCTATTATTACTCTGCGTACTTCCTCCGTCCCAGAAAACCTACAATTTTAGCATAATGTTATGATTTAGTATCTCAAGTTTGATTAATTATAGATAAAAATATTAATATTTATGATTTTATATAAATATCATTAGATTAATAATGAAATGTATTTTCTTAATAAATTAATTTGAAGTCATAAATATAAATAGTATTCACTAGATCAATTCAAACGTAAATTATTTTTGGCGGTACCTGTAGTTGCATATTTTCATCGACATAGGGAGTACTTACTCCATATTTACAGTCTTTTCTATTTGCGTCAAATACAATAATATTTATATGCTGTGGGTGCGTTGTGGTTCACTGTGCTGCTCCCTCTTGTTTCGCTACGACGAAAAAAAATCGGCTGATGATTACTTCGTTCATTATTTATTTATTATGTGATAGTACAATACTCTCCCCCTCTAGAAAAAAATATAATTCTAATTCGACACGTCGGTGTGTAGAGTTTAGAGTTAGAATTATGTTTTTTCGGAGGGAGCACGTACAAAAGCATAAACATATTTTTGGCGGATTCTGTTGTATCGCTTAATTTGTTCGTACATAGTAATAAATTAAGAAACTTGTTTAAGCATATTTTTTTGGCGGATTCTGTTGTACTAATTAGGCTTAAAACGTTAAATCTGCATGATTTCCCAGTATCGCATAATTTGTTCGTACATAGTAATAAATTAAGAAACTTGTTTAAATTAAAGGTCGTCCTAGCCGTGAGCGCGAGATCTGCGTAGTGTGGTGTGACTGGAGCTAGCTCTGACTTCACACAGTGACACAGACAAGAGGCACCTGGCTGACCGGCGATGTCAGTGTCGTGGCGTGAGGCTGCTGCCGGGCCCCACCCCACGTGCCAGACTGCCAGGTCAGGTCATTACGCGGCTATCAGATAAGTCACGTGCTATCCGATCCTCTACACATGGTGCCTTTCTTCCCTTGTTTTTTTTTGGTTCATTCAATTCAAAAATAAAAGAAGTTTTTTTGTGTGTCTTTGTTCCTTGTTGCAACAAGGTCAAGTTTAGTTCCCTCCCAAAATATCAAAATTTTCAAGATTTTTTGTCACATCAAATCTTTGGATACATGCATGAAGCATTAAATATAAATAAAAAATAAAACTAATTACATAGTTTAAACGAAATACACGAGACGAATCTTTTAAACTAATTACACTATGATTAGACACTAATTGTCAAATAACAACGAAATACGCTACGGTGTTATTTTGCCAAATTTTTCGACATCCAAACGGGGCCCAAGAGTATTGCAAACAGGGAAGAAAAGAAAGCAAAACATGCAGTCCTCTGTTTTGCTTGATCGATTATATATAACAAACAAAAGCGTCATGTTGTACTACCGGGCCTATTCGTTTTAAAAAAAATTACATTTCCACAAGAGGCAAAGCACTAATACAACAATTATCAGTATACTAATTAATGCAGGCATTTTGCTTGCTTTTGCATTCGAACGTCACACGATCACACAAGTGAAGCACCATTCACATTCTGCTTACAGTTTAAGCAAAACAAGAGACAAATCAAACATTGTCCAAAAAAGGGGCAAAACAAAATCGATCCATCAACTTCTAACAGCTAGCAGCTAGCAGAGGAGAAATGTACAGGCCGCGCGCGCGCATTCCATTTCCATCCAGTCCAAATCCAATCAAAGAGCTGAGCTGAGCTAGGGCGGAGCAATCGATGGCGCCGCCGTCGGCGCGGAAGAAGACGATGCCGACGCCGACGCCGCGAGGTCGTGCGTGAGCTGGCCCATGGCGCGCACCTGCATCTCCAGCGCGGCAATGTAGTCGGACACCTCGGCCAGGAGCGCGGGCAGCGACAGGCTCCGGCACCCGGGCACCAGCCGCCCCAGCACCTTGGCCCTACCAGCCAGCCCGCCCAGCGGCCGCTCCTCGCCGTCCTGCTGCTGCTGATACCGCCGACGGGGCCTCGGCGGCGGCGGCGGCCGGCGCGCGCGTTGGAGCGCCCGGCACCGGCGGCTGCGTGCCAGGATGGCGCGGCTCCAGCGCGAGCGGCCCCGCGCCGTGACGGCCAGCGCGCGGTAGGCCGCGTCGCGCACCGCCGGGGCGGAGGCGGAGCAGGTGGGTGTGCCGCCGGTGCGCACGAGGCGCAGCGCCTGGATGAGCTTGGAGGAGTAGGCCTGCTGCGCGCGCGGCGTCCGCCACTTGGACGACGGGCCCTGCTGGTTGCCGTCTTCGGATGCGCATGCGCCCGGCGAGCCCCTCTTGCGCTTGCCGCGGGTGCCCTCGTCGTCAGCGGAGGTGGAGGAGGAGGAGGAGGAGGAGGGCATGGTGTGTGTGCTTTGGTTGGTTGTGGGCGTGGAAGGAACGCCACGGAGGGAATTATATAAAGGAGACGGAGACGGAGGGCTATCAATTTCATAGTATATACTTACATTAAAAAATATATAAATTCATTACGAATTCATGGATATTTATTTAGTGTCATAAATACTAATAATTTTAAATAAATTTTGTGAAATTTGAAATGATTTGGACGGAGGAGAGAGTAACCCAATGCAATATATTTTTGGACTTGATGAGATGTTATCGGAGTAGTCACTGCCGCGCCGTGAACTCTCACCACTCACTAATTAACTCATGTTGTTTAGTTACTTTCAAAAAAAAACTCATGTTGTTTAGTTTACCCAACCTTAATTTGCATTGCATGCATGAGCATGGGCGACACTAGGCACGTGTGGCTTATATCTGTCTGCTGACAGATCGATCGATCATTACCCATACAAACAAACTTAGAATTAGAATTAGAAGCTTAGCCAAAGGGGGCCTGTATTTCGCTCCTACCTAGAACATTCTGTTAACATTTGCTTTCTTAGGCCGGAACATTACAGATCTGCCACATTAATTTCTGCCAAAAAAAACAAAAAACAGCGTGGGTCCTGATTCTCTGCAACATTTTATTCATCAGACTAGGCCATTTTATTTAACTGCAAACATTTTCCCCTTCCTTTCCTTCTTAGTCCGGAACACTGCAAATAAATCTGCTAGATTTTTGCCAATAATAAATCCGTCTGTCGACAGAATACTCTGTCTTATTTTATTTTTGTCTGCACTGCTGGGTGGATGGATCCATTCAGTCCATCTCCACGATCCGTCCATGATCACATCCCAACGCGACACACACAAAAAAAAAAATCGTTAGCACTCACAAGTCACAAATGACAGTGTGGTGGCCTTGTGGGAGGATGAGAAGCAAGCACAAGCAGCAGGTTGAAGTTGCTACAGCCTAGAGACTGCTCATGCATGGCATCTGAATGAAAATGAATAGATCATGGGCCGGCGTAACATGCAGGCAGGCAGAGGGTCAGAGGAAGAGGGCCAGCCGGAGCCGGCCAGTGATCGATCAGGGATGCATCGCATGCTCCTGCTTTGTTTTGCTTTGCTCGCCACTCTCAGCTCAGCTCAGTCGTCCGTCACATGGTGTGTTGTTTTGTTTGTTGTAGCCGGCTACCTCTCCTGGCTCCACCACCACCACCACTGCAACAAGCTCTGGTTTCAGTCTGCACCTGCACGCTCAAGATCACGCACTGCACTCACCATAGCTAGCCTAGCCTCCATCATCCGGTCTTGTACAATTTCATTTGACCATGCATCCTGCATCACATAGCCATGCATGGCATTGGTAGTAAACAAACAGTAAACAGAGAGCCCCTACTCCTTTTCCTGTCATGTTGTGTGAGCTGAAAGCCAAGTTGGACTTGCTCATCCTGTCATCCATACTAACCATACGTACACCAACAGGTTGCTTGGACTTGGACTTGGACTGAGGACTGACGACTGACTGCATACCGTTTATTTATATACCTACCAGGAAAGGAAGACCGGAAGAGAATGAGATAGGCATCAGCGCCGACGCCGGCAGATGCCCGCAGGCAGGATTATACTCCCTCTGTCCTGAAAAAACATGCAATTCTAGTTCTCAATACTAAATTAGACCAGAAGAGAAATGATGCATGTGTCTCACACTGCACCACACATCTTAAGGATTGCAGCCAACCATATATAGCCTCCGTAAGTCCATCTATTGCTACGTTCTTTCTTGGACATGGCTTTAAGCCTAGCAGGATTGCATGCTTTCACGGACGGAGAGAGTATCTATTAGCCAAGCCTGTTATGAGCACGAGCACGACGGCAGCACGCCATCGGCAATTCGCCATGCCATAGGCCCATAGCTATAGGCAGCTAGAGCTAGCTCATGTCATGTCGTCGCCTCCTTTGACTGTTGAAGAGTAGAGGCAACTAGTGCTCACTAGTCACTGAAGGGGACCTCTCGCTCGCTGCCTGATCGTCGCTCACACATGTGCAGTGCCGCCGTCAGTGCGTGCGTCTGAAACGAAAAAAAGAAGAAGAAAGAAAGATATCCAGGAATGAATCCATCCATCACCGGAGCTAGCTTAGCTAGCTAGTTTCGTTTCCTTTTTTGTGCTTCAGAGAAAGAGCACGACCGACCCACTTCCCCCAAGTGATGAGAACGAAGCTCAACTGACGGCGGATGAACAGAAGAGAAGAGGCAGTGTGAGTGTGTGAGATGACATGGCAATATGGCATGGCTTGCCGGTCCATCCTCATCCATGACCTGATATAGATGGATGAGGCAAGGCAAGGCAAGGCAAGGCAAGGCAAGGCAGCCCTGCTCGTCGTTCCCATCCAATCCAATCCAATCCAATCATAGACGATACTACTTACTAATGCTGCCTGCCTGCTTGTGCTTGGAGTTGGAGCACACCATATCCATATCCATGCATATAGGAGGATATAACCATAAATAATATATAGGATAATACTCTAGGAGGAGAGGAGCAGTAGTACCTGTGCTAGTACAAGCAAGAAAGCTACAGCCACAGGAAGGGAAGCCATGCGTTGCAATGGTGGCTGGCGATGTTTATTTGCAGCACGAATCCATTCCATGCAATGCAATGCACGGTTCATTCAGATGCAGATGAACTACTCCTACAGTATGCACGCACGCTGGCAGCTGGCTCTGGCTCCACCCCCCACTACGCACTGCTCCCTGTCCCTGGTGTGGTGGTGGTGTGGTGGCCTGCAGCTGCTGCAGCTTCAGGTCGTCGTCGTCGTTCAGTTGCATTGCATGCAGGCAGCAGGCCAATAGGCCACGGCAGCCGTTGAGCTGTGAGTACCTGCTGCCGCCATTGTGGATGCCAGCGGTGCCACGCCAGGTGAACCCTGTACGGTGAACCCTGTACGGCCTTTAACAAACGCTTCAGGCTTGTTGCCGGCAGTGTCACGAAATCACTGTTTACGTCCTGTCAGAACGGTATTTTCTCTCACAACAATTAGTTGGAAAAGTATTTTTTAGTCCTGACCAAACAGGCCCGTAGGTAGGCCTCCCACTGTTCAGGCTTTAGCATCTGCGTAATTGGAGAGAATCTAGGCCTTGTCTAGATTCAAGTTTTTTCACTCTCTCTCTCGTCACATCAAATCTTTGGACACATGCATGGAGTATTAAATGTAGATAAAAAAATAATTAATTACATAGTTTGATTGTAAATTACGAGATAAATCTTTTGAGCCTAGTTAGACCATGATTAGACAATAATTATCAAATACAAACGAAAGTGCTACAGTGTCAAATACTGATTCTCAACCATCATCTAAACAAGGCCCTAACCTGCCTCCTACTGCTGTTGTTTCTGCTGCCATGCCAATGCCATTTGCCATTGCCAACCCTCCCCTCCAAGAATTTATTGTGAGCACGTTGGTTGTCATGTGTGCAAGTTAAATAGGAGTGCTACACATATTTTGGTGGTGTTTGGATCCAGTGGCTAAAATTTATAAGGTGTGTTGGAAGAATGTTGCATGGGGTGTTCGGATACTAATAAAAAACAAATTACATAATCCGTCATACTCCACGAGATGAATTTTTCAAGCCTAATTAATCCGTCATTAGCACATGTTTACTGTAGCACCATATTGTCAAATCATAGACTAATTAGGTTTAAAAGATTCGTCTCTTAAATTAATCGCAAACTATGCAATTAGTTTCATAATTAATCTATATTTAATACTCCATGCATGTGCCAAACATTCGATGGGACAACGACTAAAATTTATGAGGGGCAAACAAACACCACCTGAGTTGCAGCTCTGCTGCTGTAAAAACAACTGAAGAGAGCACGATGAGTATTCAGTCAGGTTACTACGGTTTGGCTGTCCATGCATGCGATGCGCATGCGAGTGAGATGAGATCCGATCCATCCATCATCCTCCCCGGCCGGACGCTAGCAAGTGAATGACGGTGGAGGAGACAGCCCTCACGACGCGCCGTGTCCCAGCTGCCGCCCAACCCTCACCAGTCATCACCTCAGTCACGGAGCAGATCAGAGAGAGACATGTATGATCTGACAGCTAGCTAGCGACGGAGGACGGATGACCGCGAGATCCTGCTGGCCTCAGTCGCTGGGCATTTCATCTCGATCTCGCCAACAGGAGCTCCCTTGTTCAGTCACATGGCCATTCCTGGCCGCGCGCCCAACGCATGGATCTGGAACGACATGCTTGCACGGCCATCTTGCTGCTGGTCATGGGCATGTGATCGACCCACGAAAAGTCTAAAACTAACACCGCTGCTAGATGGTACTCCTAGTATAGAGCTAGCATTCTTCCTTCTTCGTCGTCGTCTGGCAATAGAAGGGGGGCCGGCAAAAGGAGCAGTAGCAGCTGCTGTAAAAACAAGAGACCGTGGCACCGAATCTGCATCTGCATGCATGTATGCATCTGTCTGAATTGAACAACCTCATCAGCATGTGTATTGTACAGAGTAGCACATATTTCTTTTTGTCAATATTTCCATTGACGCCTACCAGCTAGCAATGCAATGATCTATTAACTACATATCTGAGATTGCAGAATGTCTCATGCATGCGCAACCAGGGCTGGGTTTCAATTCAAACACTGGCAGCATAAGCATAGCATACCTGACCAGTGAGCAGTGAGCACGCATGAATGAGTGGCAAACTGGCTGCTAGTAATAAAACAGTAATTGCTCTCTGCATGCCATGTTGGAGCAGCAGAGCAGGACGGCTAGCTGCTGATGAACTTGCTGTGAAGGTGCATGCACAGGGACAGGACAAAGGCAGTCACAAACAGGCCAGCTTCCACTACAAATCAGTCCAACTCGACGATATTTGTGATCATATCTGTCCTTTCCTTTTCCTCGCCAAAGAAGAGCATTGTGTGCTTGCCTGTCTACAAGTAAGGAAGAATATAGCATATGTAATAAGTCAGCAAAAAAGAAAGAAAGAAAGAAAAA